GACTCCCAACTACGCCTTGCAGCCTATTAGTAAAGGACAACACGATATTACAACAAGAAAGTTAAACAAAGAAGGTTTGTCCCAGAAGACCTAATATTGAAAAGGGTAACACATAGTATGAAACCCAAAAATACTGGTCCTCTGGGCCCAACTTGGGAAGGACCCTACCGAATAAGGGAAGTGTTGCGTCCTGGCACTTACATTCTGGAAAGCCTCTCCGGCAAGCAAATTCAACATCCGTGGAATGCAGAACAGCTAAGGTTGTACTATCAATAGTGTATGTAATTTTTTACGCATCTTAATTATATTTTGGGCAATTTAAATAAATTGATGAGTTTGTGGAAATATTGTTCAAAAATAAGAGGAATTCACCCCTTAATAACATGTCTGCTTAAAAAACTAAGGTATATTAAACAGACATGAGAGGCAGTAAGGGATCTACGGATCGCTAGAAGACAACGACCACAAGGGGTAAAGTTAACGTCGACTCCTCTAAGGAGGAGAGGCGAACACTTAGAAAATTTTACGGAATTTTCTAAGACAACGACCCTAAGGGGTAAAGTTAACGTCGACTCCTCAAAGGAGGATAGGTGAACACTTAGAAAATTTTACGAAATTTTCTAAAGCAACGACCCCATGGGGTAAAGTTAACGTCGACTCTTCCAAGGAGGAGAGGCGAACACTTAGAAAATTTTACGAAATTTTCTAAAGCGACGTCCCCAAGGGGTAAAGTTAACGTCGACTCCTCCAAGGAGGAGAGACAAACACTTAAAAAATTTTACGAAATTTTCTAAAGGAACGACCCCAAGGGGTAAAGTTAGCGTCGACTCCTCCAAGGAGGAGAGGCAAACACTTAGAAAATTTTATGAAATTTTCTAAAGCGACGTCCCCAATGGGTAAAGTTAACGTCGACTCCTCCAAGGAGGAGAGGCAAACACTTAGAAAATTTTATGAAATTTTCTAAAGCGACGTCCCCAATGGGTAAAGACTCCTCCAAGGAGGAGAGGCGAACACTTAGAAAATTTTACGAAATTTTCTAAGATGACGACCCCATGGGATAAGAAAAAGCGATTATGAAATCTACTATCTTCAAAAACATAAAATGAAAGGAAAATCCAAATATTATATAAAAAGTATCAACATATAACATTACAAAAAGAAAAGAAAAACCTTAAGCATCATCGCCAGCCGCCGAGTCATCACCATCAAGCGGAGAAGAAGTGTCGTCATCAGCAGGAGGAAGAGGAATATGAAGGAAGCTCAAATCCCACTCAGGATGCTCTTGCTTGATCAGATCGACAATTTGTTGACCAGCAGACTGAAAGTCCTTGGTACGAATGTCGATAAGCTCCGGAAAAGCCTTGAACTCCTCAATAATCTATGCACGCTTGGCGTTGAGCATTGCTGAGGCCTCGAATTCAACTTCTTTATTCCCTTCAGCTTTTCCCTTGGCAAATCACTTCTTCACAGCCTCCGTAGCTTCGGCCGATTTCTTCTTAGAGGCTTCCGCCCGTTTTGTAAGCTCTTCGACCGCGGCCTTCAAACTGGCCAACTCATTTTCAAGACTCGGCAGCTTGGCCAGTTCTCCTTCCAAACTCTCCAGCTTAGCCACAGCTACGTCACTCTCCTCGATAGCGAATGAGCACTTTTCATTAGCAACGTCAAGAAGAGAGGTAAGCTTGGCTTCCAGGCTGTCCATCTCCTTGCCACGTTCCTCAACCTTGACTAGATCAATAAGATTGAGAATGGCAAGGAATAGGCCTTGAGAAAATTGGGAGTCAGAATAAAGATACGAAGAGCGAATCTAAAAATGAAAAAAGCACGGTCAAAACTTACATGAATCTGGAAGGAAATCCGCTTGTGCTGAAAATCCACCAGAGAAGACTGAGCGGCGGAGATCCAGTGTGGCTGAAGGAATGATTCGTACAAGGCCTAGAAGATGAGGGAAAAACAGAGAGGAAGCTTCAGCATGGCCCCAATCTCGGCGTCAGAAATATCCGGGACTTGGAAGTTGGAATCCATAATTTTTGCACCCGGCATAATCACGCGTTCCCTAGGCGCTGGAGGCATACCAGCAACGTCGGGGATTGGAACTGCCAGCGTCCAAGTCCCGGTCACCAGCGCCTTCTCTTTACGCCATCTTTTAGGTGTAGGAGCTTCCACCCCTGACCCCGAAGAAACCTCCGCGGACTTCTTTCTCTTCGGTGCCGGAAAAGAGGTGCTGGCTTTCTCTTTTCCTTTGGATTGAGGCTGCGAGACAGGCTGAGGCTGCTAGTTGCCTGGAAGCTGAATCCTCAAAAAGACCATTTTTGAGCAAATGACCAGTCAGCATGTAGTCAACGAACAGTTATGCCAAATAAGTTTAAAGGAAGCGTCGAGCCAAGTCCAGGAGCTTACCTTTATCGCTTAAATAAAAATATTCAGGGACGGCGCGAAGATTAGAAGGGTCTGGAAGGTCAAGAATCAACCCTGCCTCTCTGAGGTTGGATTCAGTTAAGAGGGTGTCGATGTGGCGAGCCTTCTCCGGGTACAAAAAGGCCTTTTCAACCCTCGTCAATATATTTCCAAAAAGCTTCGGCCGATCGTGGCTGACTGAAGGATAAAAGAACTATCAGTGTTTTAAAAAAAAAAGAAGGAAAAGGGGAAAGAAACGAAGTATCAAATTCTCACCCATATTCCCAAATGAAGTTTGCACCTTCCTTCGGCGGGGCATACGGTATTCGGGGTGAAAATTAAAAGGCCCTCGAATCATGAAAAACATGGGTTTCCACCCATGTGACGACGAGGGGATACCTCGTATCAGCATTCCAAGCCTAGGCTGGGATCGCCCATGTCCACTCAAAAAATACCATCCCTCGCATTTGGCGACATGGCATAGTTTGTACATAAACATAAATTCATCCAGCGGTAGATCCATATCAAACCGCTAGCTCCAAAAAACCCAGGCGCCAGCAAAACAGTATCAAAAATTTAGCGCCAATTGGGCAGGAGAGATGCCATAAAAATGGCAATAGTCTTTAACGAAGGGATGAACTGGCAAACCCACCCCCACCGTAACAGCCCGAGTATACACGGGGAGATACCCGATGGGGGGCATGCTGGTCCTAAAATGTACATCCGGGAGGAGGTACTCAAACCACCTCTTGTCGATCCAACCTTCTTTAACAGCCCGAATAATATCTTTATTTCGGACCCTCGATGCCACGACATCAGCCGTAAAAAATGGCATGTCTGGGTTTCCGCTCGTAGCAGCCAAGGGGGCATCCACCATTGAAGCGACGACCCCACTTACGCTACCTCCCGTGAAGGGAATCTTATTTACTTCTTCCTCCAGCATACGGTCGATGCTGTCAAACTCATCGCCGAAACCCTCGCTTGGTCCGCCCATGTACTCTTTTATTTCACTCAATATTGAGTTGCCATCTGATGAAGAAGACGACCACGAGATCTCCACCACGGAAGGGGAGTCTGGTCGCACAACAGATGGGTCCTCTCGACGAGTGGGGTTTGATGCCATTGTTCTGGTGGCGAAAAAGACAAGGAGCTAAGTCAAAATCCTAAGTCGAGAGGAAGAAGCAAACGACGACCATACTAAAGTGACGACTACTCAATTACCACTAGCACCTCTCAAACATAACGTTGACCATTCATACAAAAATGGTGACGGTGAATGTTCATAAACAAACGAGGTTCATTTGAACCCAGGAGTTAGAGACCACAATCAACCAGAAATCAGAAAAACTATCCTATGTGGGTTAGGCAAAGCGAATGGTAAGGTCTATATCCCCTACATTCCACATATTAACATATCTATGGTTCGATAGGAAAGACAGTGAAAGTTATTAAAGCAAATAGAACGAGCAATCATTAAAGCTTACCTGTAAGATGGAATCTGGGCAAAGGCAAGTTCCGAGATAGCTTCACAAAACACCGATGAGAGCAAGGGATGTGAGTAGGAGTCTACGAGAAAGAACTCAGGCAGAATGACGGAAGTTCAAGAAGTTTGGTAAAAAATGGCTTCGGTTCAAGGGATATTTAAAGGAAAACAAACCCTCAACCCCTAGCCATCAGATTAAGTTCATAAAATTCAACGGCAGGGGCATCTTCCCTAGATCTGACAGCAACAAACAAAGGTGGGAAGGTGATAGGGCATGATCAAAAGGCTCATATTTGTTTTTTCAAAAATGAAGCGTTACGTCAGCCGAATGAACTGACCGACGCGGCGGTTACGTTCCTCGAGGAAAGTTGAAGCGTCAAGGCTATAATTAAGGGAGAAGGTTCGGAATTGGGTTCCCACACCCGAGGCATAGAATGACACCCGAACCTAGCTCGAGGGTTGTCTAAAGAAAACTCTCGACCTGGGGGGTAGCTGTTGTGTGAGAAAAAGTGGGTGACATGTGGAACAGTGACAGCGTGACAAGTGACCCTACTTTTCCTCAAGAGGTGGCAACCCTCGACGCCGCAAAGAAAGGCCCAAATTAGGGCGTTGACCAATTGTGCCGTCGAACTTATGCAACAACCTTTGGAATGGGTCAACTATCAGAAAGGACATAAGGTCTGCGCGGCACAGACGCCGAGGGGAACGTTCTTCAGAAAGAAGGCTGACATCACAAGGTGCGTCTAGGGGTGGGAGACGTCTGCAATACGGGCATTAATTGTAAACCCCTAAACCGCCCTACAGTGGGTAGTGAGGGATTACAGGAATCCACAGAGCCGTAATAGAAGACCAATTGGCTGAGTGAACAATCCAAAAGGTGATTAGTGGGCTACGGTCTTAGCATAGAAGATAGGCCACTCGAGTACTTCTACCTACGAAGGAAAACCACCCACGAAGGAAGCTTGAGCTATAAAAGGGACAAAGCCCCATACACAAAGGGGGACCTCTCGAGTATTAGACCATAGAGAGAATATACGTGCATGTAAATTGTAAAGAGTCCAAAAGAAATATATCATACATAAGTGGATGTAGCTCTTCATTACCAGAGTGAACCACTATAAATCTCATGTGTCCTCCCATTCAAGTGTTATACTCATGCTTACAAAACACAACAAATACTTCACAATTTGATTTCAAATATACCGTTAATTTCCAGCCGGTAACCCAACGGGATACCAGCGGGTAATCCGGCGTATTTCTATTGGTGAAATTCAGCCGTCAACACTATATATTGCATCTAAGAGGCATTATAACAAAAGATTACACAAGGCCTATGCTTTATTGTGACATCACAAACAAACATCTTCAAGAAAGGATAAAAAGAACTCTTAAAGGTACATCTCTCGTACCATTACCATATATTATAGACCAACTTATTAGGAAGATCTGCTTTCCAAACGATCCCTTAAGAAAGCAATCAGTTTTTCCCTGGAAGGCAGAACTTCCTTAACAACACTGTGATTCACAAACTCATGGCTCCATCGACAAAGCTTAGGAAATTTCTCTTCTGTCAGTATCTCTACACCCGCAACTTCGTGTAGTGCTGGAAGCCAATGTGCTATAATATTGCCCACAATGTCCACAAGCCCAACAGTTTCTCCTCCAAAGAAGTTGTCGTCGAGCTCGTTCTCCAGAAACTTGAGAAGCTCAATCAATTCTTCCACGGCCTTCTCTCGCTCATCTTTGCTCCAGTAAGCCTTCCATATCGCAGGAAAACACTGAATTGTTCATAGCAACCAATTCAAAATTTTCATCAGTTCAAAATACACAACAAACTTAATCTTGGCCAAAATTAAAGTTCTAGTTGAAAAAATGGAAGGAGGAAGATGTTAAAAGATAAAATACCTGAGTCATCACAGACATATAAAAATATTGAACCACCCCACTTAACAACAAGTTTACATTTTAAGTCAAATTCTTCTCCCTCCTTAAACTCTAAAAGAAAATTCTTTTACCTTGTCGTCAATGAAGCGTGCCCAGAAACGCGCCTTGGCTCTTTCATAGGGGTCTTTTGGCAAAATGGGATAGTTTTCCCAGGTCTCGTCTATGTATTCGAGAATAACTTGGGACTCTGCTAAGGGCTTGTCGTGGTGGACGAGCACCGGAACCTTCTTGTGAATTGGGTTGTATTTGATGAGCAACGAACTCTTGTTGAACAGGTCTTCTTCATGGTATTCGTAATTAATGCCTTTCAATTTCAGAGCGATATCTACTCTGAGGCTAAAAGCGCTTCCCCAGGCACCAAAAAGCTTCACTTCTTCAGCCATATAAGCAAAGTTTATATTGTGGAAAAAAAACTTATAAAAGTGTCTTTTAAGCTTCTAGCAGGGATTTATGCCCTTTTATACATGTTTGTTGACACGGCTTTCTTAACCAGCAAGCCTCTATGTTTTTGTTGCTATTATAAACGAACGGCTTTCTTAACCAGCAAGCCTCAATGTTTTTGTTGCTATTATAATATATATAATAAGTTGAATAGTTGAAGTGGTCAATAAATCGCCATATTGATTTTCTTTGCTGTTTGGATCGGTGAAAAGTGACATCTAGTAGTCTTTGACAATTTGTGCCTACCAGGCCCTATTAAAATTTCTTTCCTCTTCTCTATGGGAGTGGTGACAAGTATCCACACACAGGTGGTGAAAGAAGACATCTGGAACGTTTTACTTGTGTTTACTTGTCTTTATGAGAGCTTGCGAATTCAACGTTTTACTTGTCTTTTTATTTGTTGGAACGTTCCAGAACTAAATAATGTGCGAATAAATAAATATATAAATAGGATAATTCGAGCGTTTACGTAAGCAAATACGATTTCTTGGAATACCAATAAAAATTTTATTAGGCAAAGCTTCAAAAACGTTAAATATGTTGGCTGAATAGCTATGTAATTTATGGCCTCATTCCTTAGTTCGGTCTCGACCTCTTTTTTACCTTGATTCGACTACAACCTAAACTCTTTAGGCCCGTTTGATAATGTTTTTAGAATTATTTTATTTTTAGTACAAAAATAAAAATAAAATTATTTTGAAAATTATTTTAATACCAATTCTAAAATTAATGACGTTTGATGGTCTTTTAAGAAATTTATTTGAGTATGATAAAAAATTGAAATCGTACTTAGTTACATTATATTTAATATATTAAGTAATTAATAAGTGATAATTATTTACTAAATAAAAATTAATATATTAATATATTAATAATAATAGATAAATTATCATTAAGTATTCTAATAATTAAATTATATATATAAAAATTAATATGCTAAATAATTAAAAAATAATAATTATTAATTAATTATAAGTAATTATTATGATAACAAGTATCCACAAACACAGGTGGTGAAAGGAGACATCTGGTAGTCTTTGATAATTTGTGCCTACTAGGCCCTATTAAAATTTCTTCCCTTATCTCTTTGGAAATAATAGAAAATATGCCAATATAAAAAGCTTAAGAAAGTATATATATATAGACCAATTTTTAGTTATAAAAATAATAGGCTATAACAGTTCATAATCAGATAAGTTATGGATAAACTTGTTAAGTTATGGTTCATAACCAGACAAGTTATAGACAATTATGGATAATAACTTGTCAAGTTATGGTTCATAACCAGACAAGTTATGGACAAAAATAATAATTTGGCCTATTTATTAACTTATGTAAACTATTGGCCTATTAATTTTAATTCATCTCAAGTCTTGACCTATTTTCATCTTTCTCCCAAATTTCTTCCCTTATCTCTTTGGGAATGGTAACTAGCATCCACACACCAATTGATTTAAAGAGTGGAGAAATAGTGTAGAAGATCGAAGGTTGAGAAATCTTGGCGATTACTACCACGACACGAGGATTGTTCATTGTTCGAAAAAAAATGAAAGCCTCAGTAGATTTGTTCTGTGCTTAAGATTAATTATTTTATGCAATTAATTTCACTATAACAAAAAAAGTTATTAACGACAACATTTATTGTTGCTAAAATCACAGTATTAACGACATATCGTCGCTAAAAAGAAAATAAAATTTTTGAACTTGTTGTCACATTCACTATTTACGACTACATGTCGTTGCACAAAATTCACTATTTGCGACGACATATCGTCGCTAAAATTTGACATATTATTCGCGATGACATGTTGTCGCTAATAGCCATTGGCGCAAAAACCTATCTGGCGCAAACGATTTTGCCGTCAGTTTGTCCATTATTTGTGACAACATGTCGTCGCAAATATTGATTGTTACAGCTGGCGGTGACGTGGCCAAAAAGAGGCAAAAAATTTAGCGATTTCCTGCGAATAGGTTCCATATATTTCTTTATTTTTTATTGACGATATATTGAAAAGTCGTCGCAAAAAATAGTTCTAAAAAACTCTTTTCAAAACGACTGTTTTTACGACGACACTTGTCGTCACAAAAAATGGTTCCAGAAAACTCAATCAAGGACGACTATTGTTTGTGACGACTTGTTTAATAATGTCGTCGCCAATAACTGAGAAGTTAAATTTCCCAAAAAAAAGGGTGAAAACTTTGGCAGTTTTCTTAAAATTATTTGCGACGACATTTTAACAAACTCGTCGCAAAAAAAGAACACGAGTATATTCCTCAAGAATATTCTTAGAAATATTAATGAAGTGTCACGCCCCCCAAACGGGGTGGGTGACGTGGAGCTCGATTAGGGATTAATAAAGCAGGTTCCCAACTGGCCCCACTCAACTGCATTAAAATATGACTAAATTACAGAATTCCGGAGCCTCTGACACACAACGCTCCACCCCACAGGACATACAGTATCGTACATACATGAACATGTAAATAATCATTACAACAGACATCAATCACAGTCTAGTTAATCCAAATATTACATAAGTTTACAGAATTCTCAGTTCCTTACATTTATCCCCGAGGATGACCACAATCCTCACTTGATTCCAACAGCAGCACAACTCAGCTGCTCCGTAGCAAATATCCAGTTACTGTGCACCACTCCTAGAATCTCCTGGGAGGGGTTTAATACATTTAAAACATAAAACGTGAGTGAAAGGCCCAGTAGGATATAATTTGAAATAAACGTTATAAATAAATGAATAATGAATGTGCGAGGGAAATACATAAATGAATAAGTAAATAAAATAAGACATTTAGTCCCGACAGAACAGTCGGACCCTCACATCCTTTTTCTCAAAGGAAATATAACCGTAAATAACCGTTTTACAGGCTTCAGCAAGTAATTAGTACAAATTACTTACCTAACCAAGTGCCTCGCCTACCCGGACCGAGTTTCGGGTTCTGCCCCCGAGAATGCACTCTCCGCATCCTATCTAGGCTTACAGCAATAGACTCTATTACCAGTTCACAAGATCTCTTTGCTTAAGAAATCATTCATTAACATTTTAAAATCGTTAATACGACCCCACGAACTACTCAAGCCGTGGGCCCCATGACTGGACAAGCCATGAGGTTCCATGACTAAACAAGCCATGGTTTTCAAAACATTTTTCTTTCGTAAACCAATCCCTTTCTTTAAAACATTTTTAAGGTCGAAATCCTTTTTGAAAACAGGCTCACAAGGAAAAGGGATAGAAATCCTACCTCGCACTATCAAACCTGGGACTAGCATTGCCTTTTTCAGCTTCCGCTTCCTCAAGCCCCTTCAGTCTGAATCCTCAGTGATCACTGATGCAAGACAACACTTTAGGATTAATTCTCATTCCTAAAGCAATCCAAATCTCAATTTTCAACCAAGATTTCTTATTAGTGTGCCCTAATCCATTTTCATGTTTCAAATTATCATTCCAAGGGTTTTCAATCTCAAATCAAGGATTAACAATGCTAATCCATCTATCTCAAGTCCCCAAATAAAGCTAATTTGGGTTCTCCCTGAAAACAGGGGTTAAAACAGCATTTTCAGGCCAAATAGGGTCAAACCCCGTGTCAACCGGTCGACCGGTGACAGAGCAGTGCAACACTACCGGTCAACCGGCAGTGTGCACACCGGTCGACCAGACCGGTCGACCGGTCAGCCTACAGTCCGGTCGACCGCATAGGTCGACCGATTTCCATGTGATCCGGTCGACCGCACAGGTCGACCTATGGAATCAGCTGTGCGAGAAAAGCTCACGAAAATTAGTCCAAAACCTGCAAATCCAGTCCCAAATCGAGATATTTCAAAGGAAACCCACTAGATATTGGTTCTAAGTCCTAAAACAAGTCCAAAGAACCCAAGATCTCCAATTTCTATTCTAGTTTTACTCAAAAACTATCAAAATCCAGTTTGAACCAAAAATAAGTTTTGAAATCCAAAAACTTGAGGTTCAAGGGAGGTTCTTTCAGTAATCTTACCTCGAATCCTTCTCTTGACGTTGAAAACACTTTGAAACTCGTCTTTGGCTCAAAATCTGTTTGATTTGGGACACAAAACGGGAGTGAGAGAGAAAGAGAGTGAGCGGGAGAGTGAGAGTGAAAGAGAGAGAGAGAGTGCATGGGAAAGGAAAGAGAAAGGAAAGGAAAATGGAAAAAGGAAAAGAAAAGAAAAGGAAAAGGAAAAGAAAATGACATGTGTACAATATTTTAAAAGAGCAGTCCAGAAATGCGCCCATACACACTTCTAGTTTAAAATAAATTACTGAGAATAATTTAAATACCTTGAAAGTATTTAAACTTACTCGTGTCAGAAACATTTATTAATTAAACTCAACTAATAATCCAGATTAGGCACACTAATAATCTCAATTACCTTAATTAATCTCAATTAATTCTTCAAGGTATTACATGAAGTGAAGAAGAACGACGTCATTTTTATATTAATTTCGACGACTATTTAATATTTTTTGCGACGACATAATGTCGTCGCAAAAATCAACATGTATAACCGCGATCGCATAACTCTTTTCTCCATTTTTTCCAGTGACCCTCTCAATTTTCTCTCTCCTTCCCCATCCAAAACCTCTAAAAATTGTCCAAAAACTCTAAAAAAAATTTAACTATATCATTTTGTCTTTAAATCCTTCATTTGTGGAGAAAAATATTCTGAAAAACTCCAAAAAAACAGAGTTTTCACCTCGTCGTCACCGCCTGTTTTTCCGGTCATCGTCATCCTTTTTCGGCCGCCGTCGCCCTCCCAACCATGTTGCCATACCGTTTTCCAGCCCCCGGTGTTTGTGGGTTTTGATTTTGTGAGTTAATATTTTGGTATTTTATATATTGATTTTGGAATTTTGGTTGTGGTTTTGTTTTGGATTTTAAATTTAGTTTGTGAATTGTAAATTAGAATTGAAATTGAAATTTGTGGTAATTAGATTGAAATTTGTGGTAATTAGATTGAAATTTGTATGAAATTTGTTTGATGA